TTAATACAAACTGCAAAATAATTTACCGGCAACAAATATAGTTTCACAATGGGATAGAATCTTGGCTGCAGCAGGCAAAACCTTATTGAGCCATTCCTCCCATGATTGAAATTTATAGTTAGACAGCAATTCAATATATTTTAAAAAAACACACACACAAATGCCAGAACAGATTACTGAAGTTTGGAATGGCCAAAATCATCAAGAAATTAATTGCTAGGTCATTAAAAAAACAAGTAGGCATTAATTACACGAGGAAGGTGATTCTCCATACCGTGCAAGAGCTTCCATACATGCAATAGCCAGCAGCTAACATATTCTTCCCTGGTTGCAACACATCCTCTAAAACTGGTTCACTACCATCTTTAATCATATAAATTCCAAAGATCTAGAAGAAAGACAAGACATCCAATTGATCACCACATATCATCTTACTCTTGAGGAATAATTCTAACAGCACGAGATCCAGTACAACAATAAAAAAAGCAGAAGTTCAGACAAGGAGCCATACAGTTCCAATAGAAACACCGCAGTCGATGTTTGAGGATCCATCTAAAGGATCAAAACAACGCAGTACCTGCAATACCAGACCATAGCCATCCATATTGATATCAGTCTAGAATCAAAACATGTGAATTTCAGAACCGAAAAGGGAAGGACAAGTATCCAACAACAGAGAGAGAGCATAATTAGTACACACTTTCCACGCTTAGATGGCTCCACAAATGTTGCCTCTTCATCCTCTTCAGAGACAAGGATGCACTGGAAGAAGATTCACACTCTTAAAAAATTCATCCTCAATTGAGTATATTGCCAAAAAAAAAATGTCTCCATTGACTTACTGTTCGGCCGCTGCTGATTAGAGCCTTAATGAAAACTTCATTTGAGAGAACATCCAGTTTCTTTTGCTCTTCACCCTTCACAAGATAAAACCAGACAAATACATTTGCATGAATATTACAAACAAGAAGGGATCCAAAGCTTGGGCTTGAGATGAATACACTAATTTGTGCTTGACGACCCTCTTCTGATTGTCAATTTGACGAAAGCCTCCTTTACATCTAGTAATCATCAGTTTTCAACAGGTCTTACTGGTAATTTAAGAAAATATTAAAAAGTTTGGGAGCCAATTCCTCAAAATTATTAGAGTCACTGCATATGTTAAGAAATTTTCAAACCTCGTACAGCTTTCAACAGGTCTTACTGGCGATTTAAGAAAGTATTAAAAAGTTTGGGAGCAATGTGTTAAGAAAATTCAAACCTCGTAGGAATGGTCCCCGTAGACCTTACCCGGGGGGGGGGGGGGGGGGGGACACACCCCCACAAAAAAACCATCATCGACTACCAAAGAATTTTGCACCAATTTATCACATAGCAATTATAAAAAAAGTTAGTAAACAAAATAGAAAAATGGAATATGAATCCAAAATACCTGGATGTTGGTCTCCCCAGCAAGCCCAATGAGTTTGGCTAATCCTGCCTGAACAAAAACAACTTCAAACATAAGAAATTGGCAAACCCATCACCCAAAATTCAAAACCTAATTTTCAGAGTAGTTCATTATAAATTCAAAGCAGTTTTTTTTTTGTTTGTTTGTTTGATCAGTCAAAGCAATTGAATTAAAAACACAATATCAGCTACAGAATCAAATAAAATATTAAAAAAACAGAGACCTTATTGACCGCAGAACAGACGAACTTGCAACCAAGAACAATGTGATTCAGCAATATAGAGAAATCTCCACGAGATTCAGGATACTTTGACTGCTCGTTCAGCACAAATCGCGTTATAGTCATCAAATCGGTCTTGTGTACATCCGCCGCGTGATCCATCTTTTCCAAAAAACACACACTTCAACCCTCACCACAATCCAATGAAATTTCTTCAAAATAAAAACCTGTAAAATCTTCTGAATATTATTGAGAAAGGTGCTGAGTTTCGAGGACTGAGACGAACCTTGAAAAGTGTGGATAGATATAGAAATGATGGGATGGGGCTATCTGATGTCAATGGAAGTTTCGAACGACACGTGGTGGATGCGCCGCAAGCGAAGGTCTAGTGGCTGTTAATCTGACGCTGGAGATAACGCTCTTCGTCTTCCACTCTCTCTCTCTCTCTCTCTCTCTCTCTCTCTCTCATTCGGCGGTTATTGCTTTTGGCCTCTGGCTCTGCTCCAAGGTGACGATGTAGAGGTCTCCCGGGACATCTATTTTTTTTTTTCCTAGTATTTTTTTTAATCATTTTAATAAACAATTTTCAATTTTGGCGCTTACGGGTTCTTGGTCGCAGGTAGTCGGATGGAGACGTCTGGTTTGAAATTGGATGCCACTAATAAAGGGCCACAATGGAAAATTTTATTCAATGATTACGGTTAATGACAAATTTTAATTTATATAAAATTTATTTAAATTAATTTTATCAATGATTTCACTTATGGTATATTTGGTTGGATCAACAAAAAAATAGAATGATAAAAAAATTCATTCTTCAAGGGATGTATTCTTCTTTTTCTCTTTTATGTTCGGTAGAAGAGATGAAAAGTACGAAGTAGAATCAATTTTTTTGTATTTGGTAAGATAGAAAAAATATATATATATATAGTTTATTATTATATCTATATATAAATTTAATGTATACATGATATATAATAAATAAATATGATATATGCATATATTAAAAGTTATAAAGGTAAATAGCATACATTTTAATACAAATAATTAATTTTTTATCTACTTTTTCTTCTAATTTTAGAGCGATTAATTTTAGTGAGTTGGAAAGAAAGTTAATCCATATAAATTTTTATCATTCTTATTTTTCTTTCTTATTAAACATGATATTTTATTTATCTTTCAAATTTTTTATCCTTTCATTTTTTATCATACCAAATAAAACATTAGATTTCACAACAAAATGAAAGATTATTTTTCCACATAATCTTTGATTGCATACGTCCAAAGAAAATTTCTAAATATTGTAGCATAGAATCAATTATAGAAGAGTTTGTGAATTTTAAAGAACGTTGTATTCTATTTTGATATATAAACAAGTACTATTTTTTTTATGTTGTATTTAGTTTTAAATCTTAATATATTTCTCATACTTACACTTTGAAATTTTATAAATTAATTTATGAATTTGATATTATTGTTTTGCTCCCTCTAAAACCAAAATCTTGGCTTTGCCCCCGGTAATAATTGTCTGAATCTCATTCGTCTAAAAAATCGGGATTCTACAAAAGGGGTGAATATTTACATTTAGAGGGTAATGGTGGAAAACATAAAGGTGAGAGCATAAGCTCTTAATGGGAGTATGAACAATAAATGACAAATTTTCATACCTAAAAAATAAAAAATAAAGTCATCTTTAGTAGAAAGATTGCCGATGACCCCTTAAGTTCATCGTTGCCTTTTTTTTTGTATATATATTTTTTTAAAAATTGATAGAAACACATATAGTATAAATCTTATAACACAATCAACCATTTCAATGTGAAATCAACATAAAATTACTGTATTATAATTATTATTATTGGTTTTTAATTATAATCAAGATAAATTGTCAAATTTCTTTAACAAATGATTGACTCTAATAAAACTATATACAAAACGAATGAAATTGTACAAATTACAAATAATCTACACACGAGTTTTACTGGATATTTCAACAAAAAAAAACCAAAAAAAGAAAGACTTATTCTTATCATCCCACTTCAAGGGAAAATAACTGGTTGGGAAGCCCTGGAATATCAAACAATACAAAGATTCCAATTGACTTGATGGGTTTATTTAGCAAGCACATCTTCTTTCTTTCTTTATTATTATTTTTTTTTTTGCAAGTGATGGTGGGGGGGGGGGGGGTTGAAGAGGGGGAAGTACAATAATATTATAAACAATGGCAGAGTCAAGAATATAATTTAAACTGGTAAACTTTAACTATAAATTTTACTTTATCCTCTAATAAATAAAAACAATGTGGTACACTTATGTTTTTTACATCATAACTAAAAGCAATAACCTAACTTAGACATGAATAGAATTATACATCATATTTCACTATACTAATGAAATAGATTTTTGAAAAAGAAAGAAAGAAGGAAAACACTAATTTTTAGAAAATGGTTAGACTTAGGGTCAATTTTCAGAAACAATCAAAAGGGATTAATAAAATCTCAAAAATTAGCAAAGTAATTCACGTCTTAACAAGCCAAAACATTACAAGGGTACCCTTTGTCCAGCACTGAATTTTTAAAAAATAATGTTTTTCAAAAACAAAGATTTACAATCGGAGAGTCACAATAGTCTAACAATAGAAAAATGTAACGAGAAGAGAAAATGTAATACTTTCTTCTTCTCTTGATCTCCAAGTCTTCAACATGATGTTGCTAGTGTAGTGGTACAGGAGGTGTCATTCATTTTTTTTGTTTTTTCACTTTGATTGTATTTAGAAAGAAGATGACAAATGACAAATTTATATCTATATCTATACTACTTATAAAAGTACATTAGCATAAAAAACTTTTAATTTCGTACATTATCCCTATATAGATTTCTATATTTAATCATACCCTAATCTCTTATCTTATTTTATTTAAATAATGACAATTTAATACATCAATGGTGTATATTTCTGTATGAAAAAGTTAACAAACACTTTTATTTAAGGACCATCTCTTTTTCTTCTCTACATCATGGAAGAAAAATTGCAACTATCATTCAAGGCAATAAAAATATGATAAATAGTATGTCATTGCAAATCAAAGTTATAGAAGTTAAAAGAGATTAGAGCAAGTGAAGGGACACAAAAAGTAGGAGTGTCAATTGTGTCGTCTCGTCACTTTCGACTGTGTTATTTTTTGTGTCGAATCATTTTCGGTAAGTGTTAGATTTGTGTTAATAAAAAATTATTTAATTATACAACAATTCATATAATACTATTAAAAAAATCTTATTTTTTTTACAATACTTGTTAAATATTTATTTTCTATATATAATACTCATTAATTGTATTATTCGTGTCAAACCTTAATTTGACAAATTTATTACTCGTGTCAAGTAATCGTGTTATTTTCAAATTTTGTGTCGGATTAAGTTCGTGTTAATAGATAAAATTGGCACCCTAACAAAAAGTCATAAAAAGACCAAAATATTTAATGAATTGCAAATGACATATGCCAAGTATAAATTCATCCCGCCCTCGATCCATAAGAGTCACTCTAGTTACGCAAATTACAAATAGACCAAGTATAATAGATTTTTATACCAAAGAAGCTAAGACTTGATTGTATAATATACAACACTCGAGGCAGTGGTGGGGGCGCAATCATATAGTTGAGCCCATTTATGTTGGTTGCATGACATCTATAACAGCAAAGGTGACACCAACTACATGACCAATAGAAACTCATTTTCACTCATAGAATATGAGTGATTACCAAATAATATTTTTTTGTTTGCTATCATTAAATCTTACTATGTTCTGCAATGAATTGTTAACAGGTATAAAATTTAAAGGGACATTTTATTTTGTACCCCGAATATGTAATACCATGACTATAGGTACATATTGGGTTAGCATTGTTTTGAAACCATGACAAAGTCAATGTCCAAATGACCTAAAATGTGTTTCATACAATTTCAATAAGTAGGTTGAAAAAGGATACACTTGGTTTGGGTTAATCCAACAAGATGTGCACCTCATGTCGAGATTCAATTCAACAAAAAATCTTCCTTTTAAATTTGAAATATCAAAAATAAAAAATTGGAAAATAGACTATGGTGTTGAAATCATTAAAATATTAAGGACTTGCTTGTTCCAATTGGAATTTCAAGAACTAAGTTGAAAAATGACTCATACTTGAAGAGTATAAATCTTAAACGGCTCAAACAAAAATTATACTTCAACTTAAGTTACGTGTAATGCATATGTGTATCAACTAATAATAAAAGAGTGCGCCAAAGACTTTTATGACACAATTTTTTTTTTTGTGGTTTACTGGTTTCAAGAGGTTTGTTATGGAATTAAATCTTTTTTTTTAATTCCAATATCCCGCACCAAACTTCTTTAACCTAATTAATTTTATTTTATCTAATTCATTAGGGTGGACCCAATTGAAATTAACCACAAAATATATAAAACATATATAAGAAAAAAAAAAAAATTCTTTAGGGGGTGGCCCAGCCCCTGACCTCTACCTTCCTCCGCCACTGGGTACAATCACCCAAGTGTTGCAACTAGAGACGAAATATGGATTACAATATATGGTGTTCAACTTACAAGGATAAAACTGTTAGAGTATGTGTGACTCATATTTGCTGTGTGCATAATGGCAAGGAGGCAGATGTCGGAGCGGGCGGAGTGGAGCGGAGCCCGCGACGGCATCTGCCTTGCGGGATTTATATAAAGGGGACGCTGATTAGTTGGGGGTGTGGGGGCAACGCCCCGCGGTACGGTACAGGGATATTTTTGTAAATACGTCCATATTAGGGTTATATAAATACTTAAGATGTAACTCTACTTCAATAATAATGAAAAAGAACGGCCGCTCGCTCTCGTGGATGTACGCACATTACCGAACCACGTAAATTTCTGTGTGTTATTTTCTCCTGCTTTCTTAATTGTTTGATTCCTTACTATTCATCATAATTGCTGCACGATCACAACAAACAAATTCAAATAAGAAAGGAAATATAAAAAAATAAGTCCAAAAATACTTGAAACTAGGGGTGTCTATGGACAGAATTATATTCGAGGGAAAAAAAAATAAGTCTAAAATTCAACAAGCCTAATGGTTGGTCGACCCAAATTCAATATCCTTGTAGAGAGGGATTGAACC